GGCACATCATAACATTTAAGGTCAGGGTGAGAACACATAACTGATATCCTGTGGTGTGAGAGTAAGGTCAAATTCATATCTAACATACCTCCTATACCATAATACAAATGTTGGTGATCGTGTGGTCAACTATACTAAGGTATAACACCAGTAATACCAATGTGAAATTATATCTGCTCCTCTATAATCTGTACTTTGAACACAGCCAGTCATCCAAAGGCAATTGACCTCATGAAAACCATTCTCACTTACTAAGGTTGCGTTTACACAGGCAGCCCAATTCTGATCTTTTTCCACGAATTGTTTTTTTGACCAATCAGATTAACTAGTTTGCCAATAATTGGGCAAAATATTAGTATTGGGCTGCTTGTGTAAATGCAGCCTAAGGGTGGTATTCTGATTTGAGAGCCGTGCTCTTCAATTCCTGGAAGTTTAGTGATGCGCATGCAGATCTTAAGTCATAATGCCGCCCTAAGGGCCCATACATACACACAGCCCTGCTGCTGTTCCCAAATTACTAGACCGACAGGGGGTGAACAAACAGGGACACCTTCGGGAAGCTAATCCTGATGTGATGCCTATGGATATGACGACGCTTCTGAATGACATGGGATGAGGCGCATGAACCATAAAGAATGATAGAGGACTCTATGGCCCAAAAGCTAGTTTTAGCATGGGCAGCACCATTGAGGACATTCACCAACTGGATGGGACTTCTTATGGGTAAAGGAAGGGTCACATAATTCCATCCAGGTCATTAGGAGGGATCAGCCAGTGCTATCCGGGATCCTTACCTAACCTTAACCGTTTTACATTTTAACTTCAATGGGGTGACAGATTTGGGACATCCCAAGGATCCCGTTTAGACTTTTCCAATTAATATATACTCGTGAGTAAACATTCCATAACTGCAGGTGGCAGTAAATCGCTAACCTTGCCTTTATACCTGTTCAAACAAACTCCAGGGGGCAGTATGCACACTTTCAGTTTATCTACCAAGTCAGAGTAGTAGAATAAGAAAATTGACTACTTCAAAATGGAGATTGCCTCAATGGCGGTGCCTGTGTGCACACAGACGCCATAATGGGACAGATACAATGAAGAGTGCTCTATTATTCTCTATGCCATGAACTGAAAACAACAAAACAAACAGATACAGTGCATTCGTAAAGTATTCAGACCCCTTGACTTTTTCCACATTTTGTTACGTTACAGCCTTATTCGAAAATGGATTAAATAATTGTTTCCACTCAATCTACACACAATACCCCATAATGACAAAGCAAAAACAGTGCTCTAGAAATTTTGGAAAATGTATACAAAAAATGGAAAAACTGAAATATCACATTTACATAAGTATTCAGACCCTTTACTCTGTACCTTGTTGAAGCACCTTTGGCAGCGATTATAGCCTTGAGTCTTCTTGGGTATGACGCTACAAGCTTGGCACACCTGTATTTGGGGAGTTTTTCCCCATTCTTCTCTGCAGATCCTCTCAAGCTCTGTCAGGTTGGATGGTGAGCATTGCTGCACAGCTATTTTCAGGTCTCTCCAGAGATGTTTGACCGGGCCCCTCAAGGACAAAAGAGACTTGTCCCGAAATCACTCCTGCGTTGTCTTGGCTGTGTGCTTAGGGTCGTTGTCCTGTTGGAAGGTGAACCTACGCACCAGTCTGAGGTCCTGAGCGCTCTGGAGCAGGTTTTCATCAAGGATCTCTCTGTACTTTGCTCCGTTCATCTTTCCCTCAATCCTGACTAGTCTTCCAGTCACTGCTGTTGAAAAACATCCCCACAGCATGATGCTGCCACCACCATGCTTCACCGTAGGGATGGTGCCAGGTTTCCTCCGGACGTGATGCTTGAAATTCAGGCCAAAGAGTTCAATCTTGGTTTCATCAGACCAGAGAATCTTGTTTCTCATGGTCCAAGAGTCCTTTCGGCAAACTCTAAGCCGGCCGTCATGTGCCTTTTACTGAGGAGTGGCTTCCATCTGACCACTCTACCATAAAGGCCTGATTGGTGGAGTGCTGCAGAGAAGGTTGTCCTTCTGGAAGGTTCTCCCATCTCCACAGAGGAACTCTGAAGCTCTGTCAGAGTGACCATCGGGTTCTTGGTCACCTCCCTGAACAAGGCCCTTCTCCCCCGATTGCTCAGTTTGGCCGGGTGGCCATCTCTAGGAAGTCTTGGTGGTTCCAAAGTTCTTCCATTTAAGAATGATGGAGGCCACTGTGTTCTTGGGGACCTTCAATGCTACAGACATTTTTTGGTACCCTTCCCCAGATCTGTGCCTCGACACAATCCTGTCTCGGAGCTCTATGGACAATTCCTTCGACCTCATAGCTTGGTATTTGCTCTGACATGCACTGTCAACTGTGGGACCTTATATAGACAGGTGTGTGCCTTTCCAAATCATGTCCAATAAATTGAATTTACCACAGGTGGACTCCAATCAAGTTGTAGAAACATCAAGGATGGTCAACGGAAACAGGATGCACCGGAGCTCAATTTCAACACTCATAGCAAATTTTCTGAACACTTAAGTAAATAAGGTGGGTTTTTTTTCTAAAAATCTGTTTTCACCTTGTCATTATGGGGTATTGTGTGTAGACTGATGAGGAAAATTTTTTATTTAATCAATTTTAGAATAAGGACGTAACGTGACAAAATGTGGAAAAAGTCAAGGGGTCTGAATACTTTCCAAATGCACTGTATATCCATCTACTTGTACAACAAAAACAACCATGTAATATTAATATTAAGACAATCTTTCAAATGGGCAGGCATTTCTCACAGGGACGAAAAGGACAACATGATAGGTAGGAAATGATAGGCATTTCAATTCATGGTTGCTGAGCTTAAAACTCAATGCTTCACTTTTCATCTTTATCTTAATTCATATCACCCTAGGACACTGCCCTTACTCTGTATTGAAGTGACACACTACAATGTTTTCAAAATGCAATATATTCAGCCCTGACTGTGAACGCACTAGACCAGGGGTGTCAATATCATTTTGCCTCATGGGCGGTATTCGGCCTTCACTGAGGGCTGGAGGCTCGCACTGAAAATTGGTTACATTTCCTCGCAGTCCCAAAAAAATCAGAAATAAATAGTCCTCTATGCATCATTTTTTAGAATTGTCGACGCTCCCTGACTACCTAGCTTTCATTTCGGTGATTGTGATCAAGCTAGACAGATTAAAGAGACTGCATAAATGTAATATATATATATATATAATTTCTATACAGTTCCGATTTAGTGTCCGTTTAAAAAAAAAAACTCAAACCAACGATTTCAATGCTGCCCGCTGGCAGTTTGAGTAAAACTAAATACAAATAAAATAACATTTAAACCGCCCGTATGTTTGACACCTAAACCAGACAAAAAGGATATGGGTGCACCTACAGCTGCATACTCTCAACCATGAAGATTTATGAACTTCAGAACTATCAAGACAGAGAAGATAGTGGGATTATGCAGTGCTATGGAGGGGGGAAGCATGTATTGTATGCCACACTCAGTTAACTACTTTAGGAAAACCAAGGTTGACAGCACCCTTAAAACCCATTTCAAACTCGAAAACCATTTCTCAAAATGATAAAAGGGATCAATTCAATCACACGCAAATGAAACAAAGCAAGAAGCTAGGACTGTACTGACTTGTCTTTTGATAAATTGACAGATGGAAAAATAAGGAATTTCAAAATGTAACTTATTGCAACAAAAAACAATGAGAATACTGTTCTGCCCCCCCCCCCCCCCCCAAAAAAAAATCGAAATTAAAGTTTGAGGTAAAGGCTGACAAAACAACTAAAAAAAAGGTAATTCACATTTCAAAATGATTGGAATTTCTTTTTTTACATTTGATTATCATAGTTGTAATGCAGCGTCGCTGTTGTAAATTATGTTGCTTTTAAAAAGTACATTCAGTAAGTGTATCAATAACGGAACGAATTGAAATACAATTTTAAAAACAGAGGTAAATCAAAATAAATTATTTGTTGCCAGTGAAGCACTTTGTCATATACTGTAAATCACTCCACTATTACACACACACACACACACACACACACTTTTCCATCCCCAGAACACATATTAAAACATAAATAACAGAATGCTTAAAATAGAGCACAACCAATTATTAACATTCATACCAGTCATCAGCATACTAAATTCAAGGAAAAAGGGCATTCTTTCTGCTATGTATGACAAGCTTTGATGTCAGCAGCATCACGCAAGCTTGACTTGAAGCAACAAGCTCATCTTATTGGAAGAAAGTAGGACTAAAACAAAAATATGGTTGTAAAAGGAGGAAGATGGAGTTTGACATTTGCACCATATTGTGGCAACCAATTTTCCAGAAGTCCACTTGACATAGCTGGGACTCTTGTCAGTTAAAAAGTAACTTCCATGTGCTATAAAAGGCTTGTAGCCTCCAACACTCCTGAGGCGAGTAAGCCTGCTTTTATTTCCTCCAACACACACACACCATTGCAGGACTATCAGAATGCAAGCAAGAATAAACCACTCAAGAACACACAAGCGAATGATGAAGACACAGAGGGAAGAGAAAGGCAGAGAAATCATATGTCAGTGTGACGACGGCCCGATGTTCGAGGTAACCAAAGGCTTTTCACCATAAACAACACATGGAGTTCACAGGATTTCCCTGATGATTATGCGGGAGGTGACAATCTCGCATCAGGACTTTTTGCTCTGATGATATTGCATTTGAGTTGTCACCAATGGCACAGGGGTTTCAGGCAAACTGTTTCTGTAATGAATTGAAGAGTTCCTACAAATATTTACACAGTAGATACAGGCACTTATATAATTTGTCTTTGGTTGGAGTGACCCAACATTGCAGAGAAATGCATTCACAGAGCTTTGCACCCCTGTATTTTTTTCAGGGTTCAGTAGGCAACTGGAAATGTTTTCTTCTTCTACCTTCTCCTCGGCTATAGTTCAGTTATGGTGGAGATCCTAGAGTTCTTCTTACCCCTCTGACAAGGCCACCTGAGGAGAGAAAAATGAAATTCATGCCACTGCAGAATCATCCCTCTAACCTACTAGTCCGTCACAGCGTGCAAATAAGAACCCCGGGGATGTTATCCTGAATAACAAAGTGTTGTGGAAATTCCATACAGAGCCGAGTCAACTGTAAAAACAGGAACAACCAGATTTTCATAGTGCGCAGGCATTTCAGGAATGCTCTTTCATGGATACGGACATCAGACACCTGGAAATCAGTGTTTTCAGATGGTGAACAAAACAAGGCTAGACATTGTTACCTGAGAGACTTGTCTGAGCTAGATCTTTTCACAATGCCTGTAATGCGATATCAAAGGCGAATAGCTGTGTTTTGCTGTATATTGCATTTTTCGCGACGGGGTTTAGTTTCCCCTAGATATAGATCTAGGATTAGCTTCCCTTTCCCCAAACTTTAACCATTAGTGAGGAAAATGCTAAACTGACCCAAGATCAGTCTAAGGCCAACTTCACCCTACACCTACCTTTTCAGGGCAGAAGTCGTGATTGGTTGTTGTCCGTACTTTCCCTGGCCGGCCCTTGATGACAGCATAACAGAACATGGTGATGACCATCACAAAGAGGAAGTAGCTGGTGTGCATTAGGTGCAGGTTGATGAGCGAGCGGTCGTCCTGCAAAGAGAGCCAAATATCCTTAGCGCCAGGTAAACACTTTCTCATTAAGGACGTCAAATAGTGTACTTGGAAACTGGCCATTTCATCTATCACAAAAGCCAACACAACCCCCATGCATTGTTCCTGTCATTTCAATATAAAGAATGTTTTAGAAAAACTGGTTAGTAACTGAATAATCATACTGCTCCCCTAGGACAAATCAGGTTAAAGTCAAATGTAATTGAATTGCAAATAGTGTAATATTGCAAAAGCACATTAGTCTTTAGAACCATATTAACTAATGTGCACTTGGGGTTTTAGATTTACAGTTGCCATTTTGAATGCATAACATTTAATTGGAGAGAAAACACAAGAAGAAAAAAAAAAAAATCACTCATTCATGATATATGAAGTACTCAAATGAAATATATATATATATATATATATATATATATATATATATATATATACACACACACACACACGTGGGGAAAAAAAGTATTTAGTCAGCCACCAATTGTGCAAGTTCTCCCACTTAAAAAGATGAGAGAGGCCTGTAATTGTCATCATAGGTACACGTCAACTATGACAGACAAAATGAGGAAAAAAAATCCAGAAAATCACATTGTAGGATTTTTAATGAATTTATTTGCAAATTATGGTGGAAAATAAGTATTTGGTCAATAACAAAAGTTTCTCAATACTTTGTTATATACCCTTTGTTGGCAATGACACAGGTCAAACGTTTTCTGTAAGTCTTCACAAGGTTTTCACACACTGTTGCTGGTATTTTGGCCCATTCCTCCATGCAGATCTCCTCTAGAGCAGTGATGTTTTGGGGCTGTCGCTGGGCAACACGGACTTTCAACTCCCCCAAAGATTTTCTATGGGGTTGAGATCTGGAGACTGGCTAGGCCACTCCAGGACCTTGAAATGCTTCTTACGAAGCCACTCCTTCGTTGCCCGGGCGGTGTGTTTGGGATCATTGTCATGCTGAAAGACCCAGCCACGTTTCATCTTCAATGCCCTTGCTGATGGAAGGAGGTTTTCACTCAAAATCTCACGATACATGGCCCCATTCATTCTTTCCTTTACACGGATCAGTCGTCCTGGTCCCTTTGCAGAAAAACAGCCCCAAAGCATGATGTTTCCACCCCCATGCTTCACAGTAGGTATGGTGTTCTTTGGATGCAACTCAGCATTCTTTGTCCTCCAAACACGACGAGTTCAGTTTTTACCCAAAAGTTCTATTTTGGTTTCATCTGACCATATGACATTCTCCCAATCCTCTTCTGGATCATACAAATGCACTCTAGCAAACTTCAGACGGGCCTGCACATATACTGGCTTAAGCAGGGGGACACGTCTGGCACTGCAGGATTTGAGTCCCTAGCGGCGTAGTGTGTTACTGATGGTAGGCTTTGTTACTTTGGTCCCAGCTCTCTGCAGGTCATTCACTAGGTCCCCCCGTGTGGTTCTGGGATTTTTGCTCACCGTTCTTGTGATCATTTTGACCCCACGGGGTGAGATCTTGCGATCGAGGGAGATTATCAGTGGTCTTGTATGTCTTCCATTTCCTAATAATTGCTCCCACAGTTGATTTCTTCAAACCAAGCTGCTTACCTATTGCAGATTCAGTCTTCCCAGCCTGGTGCAGGTCTACAATTTTGTTTCTGGTGTCCTTTGACAGCTCTTTGGTCTTGGCCATAGTGGAGTTTGGAGTGTTACTGTTTGAGGTTGTGGACAGGTGTCTTTTATACTGATAACAAGTTCAAACAGGTGCCATTAATACAGGTAACGAGTGGAGGACAGAGGAGCCTCTTAAAGAAGAAGTTACAGGTCTGTGAGAGCCAGAAATCTTGCTTGTTTGTAGGTGACCAAATACTTATTTTCCACCATAATTTGCAAATAAATTCATTTAAAATCCTACAATGTGATTTTCTGGATTTTTTTCTTCTCAATTTGTCTGTCATAGTTGACGTGTACCTATTACAGGCCTCTCTCATCTTTTTAAGTGGGAGAACTTGCACAATTGGTGGCTGACTAAATACTTTTTTTCCCCACTGTACATGTACATACATACAAATATATACATACACACATACAAAAGGCCCGCACTGGAAAGGATTGTGCGCAGTTAACTATATTCCAACAGATCACAACAATGCCAAATGTATAACCATTACAGATAAATCCTAAATTGCCCCATAAACACACATACACACAGAGTAAAAAAGTGCCAATTAAGATTAATTTATTGAAACCGTAATATCAACTCATATTATATCGTGGAACACAATCTTCAAAAAGGCAGTAACCTCAGCATAACTTTTTTTTGTAGAAGCCTATGGCTGTGCAATGGCATAGCCTTGTTTTGTTAACTTAGCAGACAAGACCCTCTAATTTCCCAAACCCTTATCACAGTCAGGACACAATTTTATAGTAAAAAAATATTTAATATAACAGAATGAAATAGAACAACATCTTTTTCCAAATGAAAAAAGTTGCCAGTGCAAATCGATGCACATTTCTTGCCTATAAGTTATTTTCAAAGAGTGATAATTTGAAACGGTGCTCAATTTGGAGAGTTTAAATAATTGTATGGGTTACAAACCAAAATCTATCTTCTTTTCGATATGGAGACGTTCAATTTAGTTTATTCAGCCTATTCTTCGGAATTTTCAAAATGGATGAACAATTCCACATTGATCACTGCATGGTGATGAATTATGGCCACGACTTCTGTTTGGTGAGTAGGCATATGCTTAATGATTCTGATGATAATACACTGTCTTTATCAAACTAATGTTTTTGTTTTTTTTCAGTGTGGAACCTGTCTATGTTTAGGGGGATTCTAGCTTAGGCTAACCAATTCTAAATGGCACTAGCAGTTCGCAAAGTAGCTTAAGCGGAAAACAGACGGGACACAATTATTCCAAAACTGCAGCTTGTTGTTGTTACAAATGTTCCTACTTCAAATCAACCAGTCCATTTTGAATTTGTGATAAAGGAATGTAGCTTGTGTATCCCATCAGTTAGATATGTTTTTATAGCAATTTATTTCTGTAGGCCTAACGGGAGCTTGTGTGTGCACTCAGCACACGTGTTGGGAGCGGTCAGAACGCAATTGAGTGAATGAGACAAGGACGGGAAAGGGAATTTAGGGAGAAGAACGAGAATTTAGGGAGAAAAACAGTGTGATGCTTGGCTTGGTTTCTTTTTTGTTGTGCCCCTCAAATGCACATGTACAAATGGAACACCAGAGTCAAAGCAAATTAAAGTTTACTTCAAGACAACATTTCACTTGCCCGTTTGGGCAACCACAAAGCACATTCCACTCAATCATTTTACAGTATTATAATTATATTTTATCGCTGCTTAAAGCTCGAGCTTTGACGTCCGTTTGAGTACTCAATTACTTATGCCAATCCCTAATATGAAGTCATGTAGTCATAATAAAACAAGACTAGAGCCTATGTTCAAGTCAGTCCTTGTCTTCTTCTTGAAGGACTCATTTTGATCATCACGTACACTACCGTTCAAAGGTTTGGGGTCACTTAGAAATTGTTGTTTTCGAAAGAAAAGCAATTTTTTGGTCCATTAAAATAACATCAAATTGATCAGAAATACATTGTTAATGTTGTAAATGGCTATTGTATCTGTAAACTGCTGATTTTTAATGGAATATCTACATAGGCGTACAGAGGCCCATTATCAGCAACCATCCCGGAGTCACCTCTTCACTGTTGACGTTGAGACTGGTGTTTTGCGGGTACTATTTAATGAAGCTGCCAGTTGAGGACCTGTGAGGCGCCTGTTTCTCAAACTAGACACTAATGTATTTGTCCTCTTGCTCAGTTGTGCACCGGGGCCTCCCACTCCTCTTTCCATTCTGGTTAGAGCCAGTTTGCGCTGTTCTGTGAAGGGAGTAGTACACAGTGTTGTACGAGATCTTCAGTTTCTTGGCAATTTCTCACATGGAAAAGCATTAATTTCTCAGAACAAGAATAGACTGACGAGTTTCAGAAGAAAGTTCATTTTGAGCCTGTAATCGAACCCACAATTGCTGATGCTCCAAATACTCAACTAGTCTCAAGAAGGCCAGTTTTATTGTTTCTTTAAATCAGCACAACAGTTTTCAGCTGTGCTAACATAATTGCAAAAGGGTTTTCTAATGATCAATTTTCCTTTAAAAATGATCAACTTGGATTAGCAAACACTACGTGCCATTGAAACACCGGACTGATGGTTGTTGATAATGGGCCTCTGTATGCCTATGTAGATATTCCATTTATTTATTTTTTTATCTGCCATTTCCAGCTACAATAGCCATTTACAACATTAACAATGTCTACACTGTATTTCTGATCAATTTGATGTTATTTTAATGGACAAAAAATTGCTTTTCTCTCGAAAACAAGGACATTTCTAAGTGACCCCACATTTTTGAGCGGTAGTGTACATAAAGTTGTTTTCCACTGTAGAAACACACACACCTCAAATTTAAGGCTCCATTCAAAAAAACAAAAAACATTTTAAACCCTCAGCCAGGTCACCCACAGATACATGCTGTGTCTGAACTGGCACCCATATGGCTCTTGTCAAAAGCAGTGCACTTTATAGAGCATACAGTGCCATTTGGGACATAAAGTACCACTGCTGCAGACAGTGGCTGCTGACTCACGTCTGGCACGATGACAGTCAGCTTGGGGTTGAGGGCGTGGTACACCTTCCCGATGGCTCCTTTGTAACACCAGAAAGGGTTGTAGTCCTGCGTGTACTTGGTGTCCGAGTCGCGAGCCGTGGTGAAGATCTTGTACCAGGACGTGGCGTTGCTGTACATCTCTGGGATGCAGTGGGGCGGCTGCCTGGAAGGCAACATTTAATACACTTTAATACCGGGCCCTGTTCCATTCTATTTTGTTACGGTCAGGTTACGGGGTCATGGAAAATCTCTGGGTCCTGCGTTAAGACTATTCTGTTTGGACCATGACGTTTTGCACCAATGCTTAGTATTGAGTTTGATAAAGCTCAATTTAATACAAATGTAGCCTTGGACCGTAGGACAACTGATATTCCATTTGTTTCCGTTAATACATGGAGTAGTAGCCAGCCAAATAGAAAAAGTAGCCAGCCAGGGAGTTACAGACTGGGGGTGGGGTTCAGCAAAAAATTGCAGGACGAGCTCTATTTCGGTGGCCTCTGGTACATTCTAATGCCTTGATTCCATCCAAAATACACAGCTAAATTATTGAATACTCTTAACAACTTTAACTCCCAGATTGGTAAAATTAGTTGTGGTATTGAGTAGAAAGACATTACTTTACAATTAAAATTACTGAAAATGTATATATTTAGTGTGGTCTTAGTTGTTTTGAATATGGTCTATATGATCAGAGGGCTATAATACAAAGCAGGTTCAATAAGCTGGCCAGCTAACTTTTATAAATAGTCAGAAATAATAGTTGATTTTCCGGTTCATTAAAAAAAGCTAAACTAAGATATGTGAATGCCCATTTCAAGCTTATCTTTCTAAAAAATATATAAAAGTTATTTCAGAATATTTAGGCTAGTTATCTGCCTAACTCCTTGAACCTGCTTTGTAGTATACCCCTCTGGTATATTTTCTAAGTAAGAACCTTTAACATTAAACCAGTCTTCTGAGATTAGTCATATTTACAGTTTTACTGCAAGATATGAATTGCCACAATTATGTTTGTTCTTCAAATTATGTATTTTATTGGCTCTGCTGCTGTGGACACTGGTTTCCTTACCCTATGTGTAATTTTGTAATTTGGGTGAACTGTCCCTTTAACAGTTTGGCCTGTCAATCAATCACTGTGGGTGGGATTGTCAGGGGAGGGGGCAGGATGTTTGTGAGTCAGAGTTGGTAGGGTTTCAGACCTGTCAATAAATCACTGTGGGTGGGATTGTCAGGGGAGGGGGCAGGATGTTTGTGAGTCAGAGTTGGTAGGGTTTCAGACCTGTCAATCAATCACTGTGGGTGAGACTGAGAGAAGGCGGTAGATTACTAATCTAGTCAGTGTACTAATGTGTCTAGTGTACTCTATCAATTTGAATTTATTGTGGCAAAAGCTAAATCTAGTCTACTCTTTCAATTTAGTTTGTTGCAAAACCCTTAGAAAACAAATGGTTGTAAACGGTTGTTCTGTCAAGTAAACATGGATTCCCATTGAGAAACAATATAAAGATTGCAGGAAAATTGTTTTTTAAATGCTGAATTCGACACCTTTTATAAAACTAGTCAACACTTGCTGTTCAGTCGTCAATCAAAGCACAGTAAATATCCTATGCGCCCAGACTGAGGTTGTATAGGCTTATGAAACACGCAAAAGAAAAACGGGAATGTGACAAAAAACTATAATTATGTGGATTTCAACTCTCGTTACCACTTACAGTGCATTCGGAAAGTATTCAGACCCGTTGACTTTTTCCACATTTTCTTAGGTTACAGCCTTATTCTAAAATGGATTAAATAATTTTTTTTCCCCTCAATCTACACACAACACCCCATAATGACAAAGCGAAAACAGGTTAAGAAATGTTGTAAAAAACTAAAACAAAAACTTTTTTACATAAGTATTCAGACCCTTTGCTATGAGACTCGAAATTGAGCTCAGGTGCAACCTGTTTCAATTGATCATCCTTGAGATATTTCTACCACTTGATTGGTCCACCTGTGGTAAATTCAATTGATTGGACATGATTTGGAAAGGCACAAACCTGTCTATACAAGGTCCCACAGTTGACAGTGCACGTCAGAGAGAAAACCAAGGCATGAGGTCGAAGGAATTGTCCATAGAGCTCCGAGACAGGATTGTGTCGAGACACAGATCTGGGGAAGGGTACCAAACATTTCTGCAGCATTGAAGGTCCCCAAGAACACAGAGGCCTCCATCATTCCTAAATGGAAGCAGTTTGTAACCACCAAGACTCTTCCTAAAGCCGGCCACACTGAGCAATTGGGGGAGAAGGGCCTTGGTCAGGGAGGTGACCAAGAACCCGATGGTCACTCTGACAGAGCTTCAGAGTTCCTCTGTGGAGATGGGAGAACCTTCCAGAAGAACAACCATCTCTGTAGCACTTCACCAATCAGGCCTTTATGGTAGAGTGGCCAGACGGAAGCCACTCCTCAGTAACAGGCACATGACAGCCTGCTTGGAGTTTCCCAAATGGACTCTCAGACCATGAGAACCAAGATTGAATTCTTTGGCCTGAATGCCAAGAGTCACGTCTGGAGGAAACCTGGCACCATCCCTACGGTGAAGCATTGTGGTGTCAGCATCATGCTATGGGGATGTTTTTCAGCGGCAGGGATTGGGAGACTAGTCAGGATCGAGGGAAAGATGAACGGAGCAAAGTACAGAGAGATCCTTGATGAAAACCTGCTCCAGAGCGCTCAGGACCTCAGACTGGGGCGAAGGTTCACCTTCCAACAGGGCAATGACTCTAAGCACACAGCCAAGACAACTCAGGAGTGGCTTCGGGACAAGTATCTGAAGGTCCTTGAGTGGCACAGCCAGAGCACGGACTTGAACCCGATCGAACATCTCTGGAGAGACATGAAAACTGTGCAGCGACGCTCCCCATCCAACCTGACAGAGCTTGAGAGGATCTGCAGAGAAGAATGGGAGAAACTCCCCAAATACAGGTGTGCCAAGCTTGTAGCGTCATACCTAAGAAGACTCAAGGCTGTAATCGCTGCCAAAGATGCTTCAAAGTACTGAGTAAAGGGTCTGAATACTCATGTAAATGTGATTTCAGTTATTTATTTTTATACATTCGCAAAAATGTATAAAAACCTGTTATTGCTTTGTCATTATGGGGTATTGTTTGTAGATTGATGGAGGGGAAAAAACGATTTAATCTATTTTAGAATAAGACTGTAAGGTGCCTGTCCTTTCAATAGATCACTAGAAGACTCATATCGTTCATTCTAACGGGAGAAGGCCATACAGATTTTTCTGACCAGCAAATTGAAACGTTTAAATGAAAAGAAGCCTGGTTGATTTATGAAGTGGAACAAGTAGCCAGCTTACAATGAGTCTCAACTGCTATTTAGCCGATGGCCGAAAACACTAATATTCTACTAACAATCTACTAACAGTGTGCACTTAGTTGTCACGATGTTACTGACGTGAGGTTATTCACAGTCATGAGCAATTGACTGATACCCATCAGTCTTATTCCAATGTCAAAAGTCATTTTAATATTTCACTGCACGTACTACAATACTTCCTACATTCAAGTCCAGCATTGACTTTCAAATACAGGCCTAGTCATGAAATAATGAAACAAAGATACAGATAATTGAGTATATGGATGCATTGCAATTCACGGCTCAGTGGCACTCACACTGTGACAGGGAAGACGTTGCTGGCAGCAGTGACGGTCATACAGGTGCTAAACACCACTTGCTCACAGTGGCCGTGCAGCACGCACTCGTCAGAATTCCATGACGCCGGCAGCGTGAATGTGATGTTCATCTCCTCATGAGCTTCCCTGCCTTTGAGGAAACACACACGGGCACACATACATTTATAAGTACTCTGACAAGTACTCTCCCGAGTGGCGCAGGGGTCTAAGGCACTGCATCGCAGTGCTAGAGGCGTCACTACAGATCCGGGTTCGATCCCAGGCAGTGTCGCAGCCGGCCGCGACCGGGAGACACATGAGGCGGCGCACTATTGGCCCAGTGTCATTTGGGGAGGGTTTGGCCTGCCAGGATGTCCTTGTCCCATCGCGCTCTAGCGACTCCTGTGGCGTGCCGGGCATATTGCACGCTGACACGGTCGCCAGTTGTACAGTGTTTCCTCCGACACATTGGTGCGGCTGGCTTCCGGGTTAAGCGAGCAGTGTGTCAAGAAGCAGTGTGGCTTGGCAGGTTCGTGTTTCGGAGAACGCATGGCTCTCGACCTTTGCTTCTCCCGAGTCCGTACGGGAGTTGCAGCGATGGGACAAGACTAACTACCAATTGGTATCACGAAATTGGGGAGAAAAAAGGGTAAAAGGTAATTTTAAATAACAATAATACTCACAGGTAAAACAGCTTCACGGTTGGTAATGTAAAGATTGTGCAAGTTACATGAGCTCCACTGTAAGGAATATGACTTAACATCTGCCCTGCAACAGCCCATATACCCTCCAGCAATATATCTGTCAATCAATTCACATGTAAAGTACATTTCTGGGAAAAAAACACTGACTGCAAACATACATATTCAAACAGTCAGACAGCTTTGAGACTGGCCTGCTATGCCCATGCAAATACTAGCATACAGGTGATATGCATGGAGAAGGCATTTGGCTGGTGCCCTTTCTCATAATCCTTATGTGAAAAAGGTGAATATACATAGACAATGGCAGTGTCCGAAAACCAATACTTGCGTCCTAAATAGTAGGCCGTTTAAGAGTATACGACATTTGAAAAATCTAGTACACTTAAAATGCCCAGATGTCATATTCATTTTAGTTTTGACAACAGCTGATCAATTAGATATGGGGATGCGCTACAGTCATTAACGAATAGCGGGAAACAACGCAATCGCGCATGACGCATTTTAAGTATGCAAAAATAGAATGTTTTATAGTATTAGAATTTTCAAAAATAAAGTATGGTTTAAATGCCAGGATGTTATACGAATTTCGGCTCTTCATCTAGTAAAATTCGATGCACACTTTTACACAAAGCATTGGAAGAGGTGGGCTGTGAGCGATAAACCCTAGTTCTCTTCAAGTAGCCAAATAACAAAACTAGGCTACTTAACTGGGAAGATACCAAATAGCGAAGCTTCTGCGGTGGTGTTCAAATGTAGGCTAAGTAGGTGATCACGAGTAGCCTATTGCATCGTAGGTTACATCTTTGAAAAGAGAAGTCTTCAGAAAAAAAAATGTGTTTTACCCAAAGTGGATTTCTGTTCTCACTGAAAAGTGTTTCTTCTTCTCTTGGCCTTTGGCAGAGCTTTTAAACTAAATACTAAATCATCTTTTGATTTCTGAATGTGTCGGCACCAGGGACTCGGGATGTGGCTGCGTTATGTCATGTTAATCATGCCTTTTGATTTGAACATATGGATTGTTTTAGTTTTGTAGTCTAGGCTACCTATTTAAATGTATGGATCAAGCCTTTGCAGTCATTCTGATCTCGTTCCCAAAGATCAGTGCTTTAGTTTATTATGTTGCTGTCCAGCGGTTCTGAATTTGCGATGCACCCGACTGTCCACTTTTTCTGTGCAATAGCCTTTTGATTTGAAAAGTTTGTGTGTATTAGACTGCCCCACCTACTCAGCCAGTCAGGAGCCGCTACTGCGTTGCGGCCCGTGGCATACTTCTTACTAAATGGTACGTGCTAAATATTACGCGACGATGAGTACATAGTATGCAGTTTAAGTATGTAGTATGCTAGTATGGGTATTCGGACACAGCTACCGTACCATATTTAGGAAGTAGGGACTAAAGCAGCAAGTGGACTCACCGGCCAGGCCGACCTGCCCCCCCAGCACGGTGGCGTAGAGGTGGGTGATGTTGCGCGAGTAGCCCCCGAAGGGCCTCAGTGGGTCCAGGGTGAGGGTGATGGGCACAGAAATGTTGATGGGGCCCGGATCCTCCAGCAGCAGCGGGGCCTGGGTGCTGGTCACCATGCTCTCCGGCGTGGTTGACTCATTCAGGCTGTGCTTGAGCGTCTCGTTCTCCGACACGCAGAAGTCTATCTCGTTGAAGCGCAGCAGGAAGGTGTTCCAATCCTGGAAAATAATTACATTATTATTATAGTCATTTAGCAGACGCTCTTATCCAGAGCGACTTACAATTAGTGCATAATTTTTTTTTTTTTCATACTGGTCCCCCGTGGGAAACGAACCCACAACCCTGGCGTTGCAAACGCCATGCTCTACCAACTGAGCTACACAGGACTACTATAATGAGAGGGGACAGAGTCATACATCCATCTATGGTTCTGGTCTTGATTAGCAAAGTATATGGCTGTTGACTATTTTTGAAAGTAATCATCACCAATAGTATGATTAAGTTAATTGTGATGATCACATCACAATTCATTAAATGAGCTTTGCTAAATGAGCCAATAACTTTGATGCATGGACAGCCAGGTATAGTTCAGCTTCAGGAATCCTCCTGCTCCATGGGTTTTGTCTGTGTTCATATAATAACGCCAACTTTGATGTACCAGTGGGAGGCGAGTATCCCTCCTACCTCAGTCATCTCTGGGGATTTGATCGCCTTGATCTTAAAGAAGTAGCCGATGGTGAGGAAGGCAATGGCCACGGTGCTGACGCTGACCATAATGATGACCAGCGGTGGACGGTTATTGATGTAGCTCCTCAGGTTCTCCAGAGGATTCAACAAGTACACCTGCACACAGACATAAGCAATGCATGCTTAATTTGATTTCACTGAGCCTCAGGCTCACACAATGCAAGGTCTCAAATGGTCAAGCTTGATGAAAAGTGTAACAAAGACAGCAAACAACGGACACAAACACTCAATGGCATTTGCTGTGTGCCAACTGGAGAAAATAATGAGCTCAAGATACAGAAGTGCTTTTCACGGCTCGAGAAACATATTGCTGCAAAGAGGGAAGAAACAGTATTAGAGCTTGCGATCCGTGTCAGCCAACGAACTAGTTAAATGGTGTGAGGTAATGAGAATGCCTACTTCCCTTATTCATCAAAGACATGAACACACATCTGATATATACAGTGAGGGAAAAAAGTATTTGATCCCCTGCTGATTTGGTACGTTTGCCCACTGACAAAGACATGATCAGTCTATAATTTTAATGGTAGGTTTATTTGAACAGTGAGAGACAGAATAACAACAACAAAAATCCAGAAAAACGCATGTCAAAAATGTTCTAAATTGATTTGCATTTTAATGAGGGAAATAAGTATTTGACCCCTCTGCAAAACATGACTTAGTACTTGGTGGAAAAACCCTTGTTGGCAATCACAGAGGTCAGACGTTTCTTGTAGTTGGCTACCAGGTTTGCACACATCTCAGGAGGGATTTTGTCCCACTCCTCTTTGCAGATCTTCTCCAAGTCATTAAGGTTTCGAGCCTGACGTTTGGCAACCTTCAGCTCCCTCCACAGATTTTCTATGGGATTAAGGTCTGGAGACTGGCTGGGCCACTCCAGGACCTTAATGTGCTTCTTCTTGAGCCACTCCTATGTTGCCTTGGCCGTGTGTTTTGGGTCATTGTCATGCTGGAATACCCATCCATGACCCATTTTCAATGCCCTGGCTGAGGGAAGGAGGTTCTCACCCAAGATTTGACGGTACATGGCGCCGTCCATCGTCCCTTTGATGCGGTGAAGTTGTCCTGTCCCCTTAGCATAAAAACACCCCCAAAGCATAATGTTTCCACCTCCATGTTTGACGGTGGGGATGGTGTTCTTGGGGTCATAGGCAGCATTCCTCCTCCTCCAAACACGGCAAGTTGAGTTGATGCCAAAGAGCTCCATTTTGGTCTCATCTGACCACAACACTTTCACTCAGTTCTCCTCTGAATCATTCAGATGTTCATTGGCAAACTTCAGACGGGCCTGTATGTGTGCTTTCTTGAGCAGGGGGACCTTGCGGGCGCTGCAGGATTTCAGTCCTTCACGGCGTAGTGTGTTACCAATTGTTTTCTTGGTGACTATGGTCCCAGCTGCCTTGAGATCATTGACAAGATCCTCCCGTGTAGTTCTGGGCTGATTCCTCACCGTTCTCATGATCATTGCAACTCCACGAGGTGAGATCTTGCATGGAGCCCCAGGCCGAGGGAGATTGACAGTTATTTTGTGTTTCTTCCATTTCAGAATAATCGCACCAACTGTTGTCACCTTCTCACCAAGCTGCTTGGCGATGGTCTTGTAGCCCATTCCAGCCTTGTATAGGTCTACAATCTCGTCCCTGACATCCTTGGAGAGCTCTTTGGTCTTGGCCATGGTGGAGAGTTTGGAATCTGATTGATTGATTGCTTCTGTGGACAGGTGTCTTTTATACAGGTAACAAACTGAGATTAGGAGCATAATCTCAGCTCGTTACCTGTATAAAAGACACCTGGGAGCCAGAAATCTTTCTGATTGAGAGGGGGTCAAATACTTATTTCCCTCATTAAAATGCAAATCAATTTATAACATTTTTGACATGCGTTTTTCTGGATTTTGTTGTTGTTATTCTGTCTCTCACTGTTCAAATAAACCATTAAAATTATAGACTGATTATTTATTTGTCAGTGGGCAAACGTACAAAATCAGCAGGGGATCAAATAGTTATTTCCGTCACTGTAACTCCATAGTGAAGTGAGTAAATCACTTGGCCCTCAACAGGGCTGCCAAACCACTATGCATGTTGCCAAAGAGAAACTACTGTGCTGCTTCCCCCTTCTTTGCATACAGGGACAATTGTTGCCTGAAAGTCAAGCTTACACTAAATGGGGTGCCATGCAACCTTGCATAAGACCCTAAAGACAAGGGATGCTGCTGTTGAAACATGTTGCACACACTTTGATTGTTGTTGTTTATTAGGGCCTCTTTTACCCTCATCACAGGCTGCTTGTTGACTTGCCAGAAGATTCCGCCCCTACCGTTACGCTTGTTTGCATTGAGCTGCACTGGGGTCAGAACGCAATCATGGTTACAATAAGACACCGTGGAGCTGGCACAATATATGGGTAGTAAAATGTACCTCAATGCAAGGATGGGATATGCCACTGCACAAATTGTACCTTTATCCACACCGCTCCATCGAGAAGATTGAACTACTTCTAGTTTTCCCGGAAACTGCACTTTTCGCCCTCATGCTAGCTAGTATTAGCCACAGCAGCCATTATGGAATGGCAAATCGCGTTGAACAAAGGAGCCAATTGGCTGACACTGCCATTTCAAAATGGCTGCGGTTGCTACTGCTAGCTAGCGTGAGGACGAAAAGGGCAGTTTTCTGGGAAAACTAGCAGTAGGTCAATCTTCTTAATGGTGCATTGTGGACAAAGGTCAAATTTAAAGTACAGCATTGACGTACGTTTTCCGACCCATTTGTCACGCTGGCTCCACAGTGTCTTAATGTAACCATGATTGCGTTCCGACCCCAGTTCAAACAAGCGTAACGGCAGGGTCGGTATCTTCTGGCAACTTGTTGGTAAGGTCTTCGGGATCCAATTTGACAGAATTAAGCCTAAGCAGTGGTAGGCAACCCTGGAATACCAGGTGTGCTGAATTTTGTCAAATCACTGAACTGATAAATTAGCTCAGTTGGTCTGGTGTAGAGCCTAGTTGGGACAAAATCCTGCAGTACCTGTGGCACTCCAGGAATAGGGTTGCCTGGCCTAAAGGAATGACTGGCACACCAATCTACCTTGGTACAATTCTAGTTGAGCTGGTTTACATAGCCAACTAGTTCCCTATGCCAAGTAAAGTAACGAGCTAAATAGCTAGGAAGTAATTAGACCAAGAATATACTGAATATGCTAGGAAGCAGCTAGCTAGTACTGAATGGGCTAGGAAGTAGCTTGCCTGGAAACCCCTTTGTTGAATTGCATAGAATTCTACGTCGGGCAGAAATTAGCATTTGAATCAGGTAAGTTCTCTCTCACAACGTCTACAAGCCAGAATGTTGAATAAAATTATATTTTAACGTAGTTTACCGGTTGTCCGTGCGGTTGGTCCTTTTGGCGGTAGGATTTTTTTGTTTGTTTGTTTTTTGTCATTTAGCAGACGCTCTTATCCAGAGCGACTTACAGTTAGTGAGTGCATACATTTGTTTCATACTGGCCCCCCCCATGGGAATCGAACCCACAACCCTGGCGTTGCAAGCGCCATGCTCTACCAACTGTGCTAGGAATGGGAGACAATATATCCACTGGAAAGTATAATTACATCAACTTTACAAAGCGCTGGTAGTGCATTCAGATTTGTATCACCTGAAGTACACCAACAAGATAAAAGTACATGCAGGAGACGCATGCATGAAAAAATATATATATTTGCATGCTTCAGGTGATAGAAATCTGAATGCATTACCAGCACTTTGAGAAGTTGATGCAATTACTTTCCTGTGGATATATGGTCTCCCATTCCTACCGCCAAAAGGACCAACCACATGGACAACTGGTAAAGTATGTTGAAATATAATTTTATTCAACATTCTGGCTTGTAGAGGTCACGAGAGGAAACTTTCCTGATTCAAACACTCATTTCTGCATGACGTAGAATTCTATGCAATTCAATGTCGGGTTTATAGGCAAGGAATTAGCTAGCTAGTTAGTTAGATGGTTGCTATATTTAAAGTGGAACTGACAGCAATTTAGCAACATGAAATCGTATTCAAATCTGTTCATATACACCCCCAGGAAGAATGAAACTTTTTTGGGGGGACAAGTGAGCACTTAGATATGGTCATTTTAATGTTTTCATAAATTCTTAGAATGTTTGGGAATTACGTATACTAAGGCATTTGTGAAAATTCTACAGCAATGTAGAGTGGGAAAGCAGCTGTGGGTTTGGACAATTATTAGACACTGCAGTAAATAAAACCTAATAAAAATCGGCCTCCTCCAGGACCAGAGTCTACACAGACCGGTGCACCATAGCCAACCAGAGCTACAGTAGGCCTTTATGCGAACAAGCCATTTGCAACACAAGCCTGCCATCATTCACTTTTTTTTTTTTTTTCACTTTGAACTGGACTGTGTGTTTACAGGCAGTTGCAACAGCACGACTTTTGATCAAGAACACATTCGCCTAAAGCCACCGGAATGGATTTCTGCAAATATGTCAATACCATGGGAGTCCTCTTACATTAGGGAACTTTACAGTCCTATTGATCAAACAACCATGAAAAGGTAGGCTCTCTCTCCCTCAGCACATCAACAACAAGATCAACTACTAATGCTAGCCAGAGCAAGGAACATTAGATAAACCCTCAAACTTTTTCAGCTAGCTGGCCGTCAGAATTGTACTGATAAACGATGGGGAATTGTAGCCTACTCGTCCTTTTGCAGCGTGCCTGCAACCAAACACCCAAGCTAACTGGCTAGTAAAGTTGGCTAGCTCACTAGCTAGCTACTTCCAGACATAAATGAGAGCTGGTTAGATAGGCTGTTTACATGTTATCTAGAGCGTTCGTGACTATTATTTTGCCTGCTATGTTTACTAACACTGGTCATATTCACCCTGTGTCGCGCGTTCGTAAATTAATCGGTTATTCTACGCTCTGGCACACTCAGACGAGAGTGTTCTGAAATCTGAGTAGATAGCCAGAGTGAATTTGTGATGCAAGAAATATGCTAACTGGATAAGTCATTCAAGTTCGTGCTAGTCAACCAAATGACACCTGCATATCTAGCTGTGTATAGCCACCGAAAAACGATATGAGTGGATAAAGTCAGTCACTCACCCACTCCTCCAATGACATGACATCCTCCTAGCAACTAGCTAGCTAACGCGCTAGGCTCCGTGATTTTAGCTTGCTACATAAATATATACGCTAGCCTATTAGCCACGTTATGACTGACTTGTGATCATTGCCCTTGCTAGTTTCATTGCATTGACATTCCCAGCCTTTGTTACATTCGACAGTTTTCCCCAAAAATATTGAGTCATTGAACCAGTGCATCCCGAATGGAGGCAGCAAATAACATACCAGGCCAGCTATGATTTACAACCTGATAGTAATATATTTTAGACTACCAATCCATTTATTGGTGAATTATATTAATCATGCATTGATCTGCATCCATATATTCTGCCAACAATGCTTTAGTGTGCGTCATGGAATGTTGAGTCGAATATAACCTATTTTTAAAACCTCTTATAAAGTTGGTTTAGTAGCATAAACTGGGATTGTGATATTTTTGACTGATATGATTGTCTGTTTTTCATTGCTGTAAAGTAGTTTAAACGCTGTCAGTTCCACTTTAAAAAGAAAAATACGCAGACAGTAGCTAGCGAATTCAAAATGACCTGCGTCGATGTGAGTATGACTATATAGCTAGATATGCCTGCAATTAGTTAACGTTAGCTAATAAATGCAATAAATAAATGACAAGACACTGGTAAGATTTTAGTTAGCTGGTCTGCTAGCTAACCAGCTAGGTAAACAGCTAACTAACGTTAGCTAGCCAGCTAGCCAAATAGCTAGCTAAACCGAAAACAAGTATTAGTTAACATTAGCTATCTAGACTATAACAAAAGGCATGAACAAATAACGTGGGGGTGCATGGAGATATAAAACATATGTTAACGATAGATAAGTTATCTATTTAAAAAATAAATAAATAAACTCACCATTTTCTCAATATGATTGTGTGCCTTCGCTGGCTAGCAAGCGCTACTCGCTAGCGTAGTGTCTACAAATGGTTGCCTTGATCACACCGACAGTGTTTGCGCAAAATTTTACGCAGCATCATCTGGATAGGTGTGCAACAAAAGTTCAACATTCACCTTCTGCTATCATTTCTGTCCACCCGTTAACGCATAGTTTGAAGCATACGTTCGATAAATCCAATGTATGTCCCACACAGAACGCACTACAACTGCCTCTGCAACGCAATGCTGGAAGGCAAACGCAGCGTTCCATTGGAATAGAACGTACTTCTGGTGTGTTCAAAGCGTCTTCTTCTTCTTTGGAGTTTAACATTTCAATAATCTAGCAGACGGCTCTTATCCAGAGCGATTTACAGTTAGTGAGTGCATACATTTTCTTTCATACTGGATGCCAACGGCGGTTGGCATCCAATATGTTGCATTACCGCCCCAACTGGACTATAATATTAATCCAGTATACTTTGTAATACAAAATGGGAAAATACCAGTTGTGTAAAGTAACGAAGTATTCGTTTTTTGGGGTATCTGTACTTTACTTTACTATTTATATTTCTGTCGACTTTTACTTCACTACATATGTTTTTTTTTTAAGTATACTTTTAATCCGATACATTTCCCCTGACACCTTAATTACTCGCTACAAAATCAATCTGAAGCTGGAAGGAAAAAATGCGAGTCGGCACACTCATGGGTGAATTTGTTAAGCAATGCAGCAGGCGACGACATGCAGAGTTCTTCTTCTTCAGTGGGGTTTATCGGCGGTTGGCATCCAACGTTATGGTGCATTACCGCCACCTACTGTACTGGAGTGTGGGCCAGGGAGAAACTAAATTCTACCTGCCAGGCCCCGTTGCTCTTAAAAAAGATAACAACATATTTGAGACTATATCTAATGACGTTCTACTCAATATACTCTTTAAACTAATTTCCTGTATCCCCTTCTCCCTCATACTAGATCTCATCCTCTCTCTTTCCCTCTGATACTGCCCACACTGTAGCAATACATGCCCCACGGTCTCTGTTTCCTGACAATAATCACACTTTCCTGTTGGATGCTTTCCTATCACATTTAATGTCTTATTCAACTGGCTGTGTCCCACCCTTAATCTTGTAGAAATAGCCTCCACCCACTTCAAGGCCAACAGTATGGCCATCAGCTCCGCCGTATATAC